CTCTCACTGAGCATGTGGAGGAAGAGGACCAGGAGGTCAGGAGGCTGCAGGCTCCCTGAGGCTCTTCTACAGGTGGGGCAGGGTCAGAGAGGAGAAATAAAGAGAAAAGCAGCCGGACAGAGAGCGGGAGAGGAGCGAGCAGGCAGATGGAAGAAGAAAAAACCTGAAACTTTTAAAAGCAACTAAAATGGCAAGAAAAACTGGGCGTTGGAAGAGAGAATATAAAGTAAAAATAACTCTTATTCCAAGGAAGTGGAGAGAAGTCCATGACCACTGGTGGCCTGGCTTTCCCTGGCCGGAATGTGGGGCTTGGGTCTATATATAACCTCTGACCCTGACCGGGGGTGGCGCTTAGGGTGGGCATTGATGAGGCTTGAGGAGCTGATTGGAGTTTGCTTCCTGTGCAAACAGGAAGGGGAGCTGCAGTTAAGGCTGAGGAAGAAGCAGGAAGTGGTAGGCGTTCCCGCTTTGGCCTTCCGCCATGTTAGACCACCGCCATAATTATACAGTAATTTATTCCAGGACAAGAACCTTTCAGGCGTGATGTCACACACCTGTCATCCCGGTACTCAGGAGGCTGAGGCAGAAAGATCACCAAGAGTTTGAGGGCAGCCTGGGCTACCTAGTGAAACCGTGTCCTAAATGAGTTATTTAACTGATTAATTAATTAATGAGGAGAGAAGGAGGGTGCTACACACATCAGGCATTAGCAAAGCCCTCCCCACACTTGGGTTGCCCCAGTCTGTGCTTGAGGAACCAGGCCCATCCCACGCAAAGTCCGCCCAGGGACCCTGGGCTGAGTGGCTGAGGTGGTCTAGATCCTTCCCCCCTCACACTCCTGACCCCAAGCAGCTTGGCCCGGCTCTCAAACATACTGGCCAGAGCCTAAAGCTTCTCCGCCTGACTGCCAGCCCTGCCCAGCCCTGCTCAGCCCAGTCCAGATCCCACCAACCCAGCCCAGGCCAGGGCAGCTCAGAGTAAGCACAGGGCAGCACAGCGCAGGGGTCCAGCCCCAGCCCAGCATCCAGACTGGAAGTGGGAATGAAGTTGCTGCCCAGGTTCTTGGGGCCAGGGGGCCCATCTGCATGCCCAGGGGAGCCCGTCATGTGGGAACTCCAGGGGATGTATGGGGCTGTGACAAGCACATACTCTGCTTCTGGGGCAGGTAGGCCCCCTGGCCCGCTGGCTGGACACACAGCCCTACAGCGGCCTTTCCGAGGCGGAGAAGGGGTGTCCTGGAAATTGTGCCCGATAAACAGTGGTAGGTCAACGGCAGGCTCCTCCTCACTGAGGAGCCCGAGGTGGGAAGATCTGAACACTGCGATGCTCATCCTGGAGCACAAACCAGTCAGCGTGCTGGAGGCCTAGGCACCTGGCCTCTGCTGGTCCTGTCCTTAGAGTCTTGGAGTTGTCAGAAGCAGGGTGTGTGCAGAGCACCACCTCCCCAGGCCCTCCCCACACCCTCACTCGGACCCCCGCACACCCCGGCTCCAGAGGCGGCTTCTGAGGTACACAGTGATGCTAAGAGTATATCCATGGGTCTCACTGGCCCCTCCTGTCCTGGGTCCTGAGCCTCAGTTTGGCCAGCTGGAGGTTCAGGGACTTCGTGGACTGTGCCATCGAATGGGAACTGGTTGCTCATGGAAAGCACTCTATCCAGAGCCCCCATCAGGGGCTTCCCTGGGGCAGATTCAGCCCCTGCGCCCAAAGACACACTGCGCAGACTCCAAATACCCCAAGACCTCTGTGAGCACTCCTTTATTTGGGGACACCCGGAGGCCCAATGCAACGCCTCCCTCTTAGGTGGCCTTGGTAAGGCCACTTGGTCCACACCCTGACCTGAGGGGGTTTGCACAGGATTTTTAGTTTGGCTGCTGGGAGGCTCCACCCAGGGGCCTCAGTGTGCAAAGCCAAGGGGTGTGGGCAACCGCACTGCCTCGGAAAACCCCATCTGCAGCCCTTGCGCAGCTGCGAGAGGGACACCCCAAAGCAAAGGTGACTGCCAGCCTCCTGGTTACCTCTGCATGTCCCTTCTGAGGCCATCTCACACCTGGTTCCCAGCAGGATCCATCAGGAGTCCACTGGATGAGGTCATACCCAGGCCTACCCAGCCGTGGGCTGCACGGGGACAGGACAGGTCTTCTGCCTGTGCCCCAGCTCCTCCAGCCTCAGTGGCTGCAGTAACAGCTGCTGGGGTGAGGAGACCAAGCAAGGGCTGCCCTGGTGCTGGGCAGTCTTTTTTTTTTTTTTTTTAACAAACAGATTTCTGGAGACTGTGACCTCCCAGGCTCTCTGTGCACCCATACTGCATAGCTCCAGCCACGAGTCCCAAAGGCTCCCACAACCCATCCAGCAGCCACATGGAGGAAACTGTGGGTCCTGCCTAAACCCAGTGTGCAGGCCTTTCCCAGGGCCACGTGGAGGGGGGCAGGAAGCAGCGGCCCAACTCTGAGTGGTCGGAGCAGAGGAGGGACCAAGGAGGCGGCCACTGGCTATCTGTGGGGGGAATACTCTCCCCACTGGGGACCCATGGGCACCACTTCCAGCCAGGTCCAGGATCCCACAGGGTGACACCTGCTTTTCATTTTTAATCTTCTCTGGCGAAGTCAGGACCTACAGCCACAGAGGACCCAGGAACCCATTTGATGCTAGGGAAGCCCAGTGGGGCAGAGATGGGGCACAGCTGGCGTCAGGCTGGTTTACAGCCCTTGCCCCCACCCGGTCATCAGCATAAGCATGAGGTCATCCTAAGTGAAATAACTGCCAGCTGATGGCTGTGAGCCCCACAGCCCTGTCTGGCCTTCCTCGGGCTCCTGTACCACCTCCAGCCAGTGAGGGGCCAGCCCTGGCCACCCCATCTCCTGCCCGACACTGTCCACCTCCCTACCCTCCCTGGAAGGCTCCGCTTGCAGCCAGCCTGTCCTGCAGTCCTGCCACTGGCCCGGCCGTGCGAAGGCAGCAGTCACGTTGCTCCCAGCCCCCAACTATAGACAGGGAGACAAACCCACTTGAGTGCCAGGACATCCTCCCCAACCCAAAGTCCTCCCGACATAGGCCGGCCAAGAGGTCGCCTGGTGGTCTGGCTGCGATCGCCCGCCACGCTGGAGGCTGAGCAGCGTCACGGAGGGGCTTTGAAAGCAGATTCAGTTACACACGTGACACAGTGGCCCACAAACTCTGTTTTCATTTCCCGCTCCCCTTTTCTCAGAGCCAACTCCGGCCCAGCCGGGTCATCCACAGTGCAGCTTGTTTACAAGGCCATTTCCCTGCTCACAGGAGCCCGCTGCCCGTCACCTCACCCTGGTGCCGGCTCTGGCAGAGGCCCGGCCTCAGCTCCTGCCAAGCCTAATGGCTACAGGACCTGGAAGGAAACATCGGGCTGAGGAGCAGAAAAGGGGCTGAGAGGTGCCACCCTGGACTCTGCTGGACCGTGGCTATTGACTCCTGGCCTCCGTTTGCTCATCCATGAAATGGGTGTCAGCACCACCCACCTCACACACAAAGCAATAAGCCTTCAAGTTACAGCACAACACATCCCTATGCCTCTGTAGGCAGGTGAGGCTACCCAGGAAGTGCCCAGGTGAGGGCTGTGATGGTGCAGAATGGGCTCAGGGCAGCCCAGGCAGACAACGGACATTACAGGCCCACCATTGCCCTGGACCCACTACCTGCCCCTACTCTGGCAGTCAGACAGTGCAGGCTGTCGAGCTGGAGTGGACCTCCAGGAGGGACACATGTGCATCTCCAGTGCATCTTTTACCCGTGCACACCCAGCCCTCCCAGCAGGACCACGCCCCGAGCACCTGCCTCCTGGGCTCCCTCAGCACCCACGGACTCTGCAGTTCTCGGATGCAGGGTCAGTGGAGAAGCCGGGCACCCTGCTCCATGGACCCTGTGGGTGGCACAGCCCTGAGGACACTCTGAGGCTCAGTGGGGTCAGCAGGTGAACCAGGTGACAACACCCACAAGGAGGACTCAGGGCAGTGGTGGAGGAAGGGCAAAAACTGGCTTTTCACACCCTAGGGGCCAGTGGCCCTGGACTGGACGTGCCTGAAGGACCTTTGGAGGGCAAGCCACCCACTGCAGAGGATTCCCTGGGTCCTCTCGGTTGGTCAGGTCTCACCGCAGGCAGCAGAGCAGGGCCAGTCTCCCCTCCTCGTATGGGCGAAGGAGGCAGGGGTAACCTGGCAGCCCAGTCCTGGGGGCTGCTCCTGCACACAGTGCTCCCCTCCTAGGCTGCTCAGAGGGCAACCTCTGCCTGAGCTGGGAGTCCTGGACTGCCACCGTTCACCCAGCAGGCACAGAACACCTGCATACGCTGGCAGCAGGGACCAGATCTGGAAGCCATTCCCAAATGCCCTGCCCCAGTGGGGGGGGGGCACAGGAAGAGGCCAGGCCTCCCCAGGGAGCTGGAGACCCTGCCCTTCCCTCCCCTCCTCCAACAATGGAACTGTTTTCTTTTGGCATAATTGTGTCTGAGGGAAAGGTTCCCAGGCTCTGGACAAGTGACAGCCAGAAACAAAACCCAGAGCTGATAGGTGACAGGTGGGCAGGACCAGCCCCCGCCTCACACCCCCCTCACCCCTCAGTCACAGCGCCCAAGCCCCTTGGTCCAGGAGTCACAGCCCTGGACTCTGGCTAGCCACCAGGTGAATGGCCAGGCCAACCTCCTTAGCATTCTGGGGGCCCAGAGATGTGTGTTCCCCTCCAGCCCCAGCTGGATCCTGGTCCTGCTGGGCGGGGGTGGGGGGCTGAGCCCCTTCTGTGTCTCCCCATCAGCCTAGTGCCCCCTCTCAGGGCCCCCATGGTCCTGCTCCTCTACCTGGTTATCCCCACAGCCCCTCTCCCGTGCCCACCGAGTGCCCAGTGTGTCCCCTCTACAGACCAGAGTCCTCTGGGACCTGGTCCCATTTACTCTTTCAGAAGCCACTGCAAGAAGCAGACCCTACCGTCCCCCACCTCTACAGATGAGCAGAGACAGGAGGAAACTGACCCCCTCCCACATTTTTTTTTTTTAATTTTTAAAATTTCAAGGGCTGGGGATTTAACTCAGCGGTATAAGTGCCTGCCTGGCAAGTATGAATCATGAGTTCAATCCCCGGCATCAAAAAAAAAAATTTTTTTTGAGATAAGGTCTCATTATGCAGTCCAGGCTGGCCTTGAGCTCACTTGTAGCCCAGGCTGGTCTCAAACTGGCAACAATTCTCCTGCCTCAGTCTCCCGAGGGCTGGGATCACAGGCCTGCACAACCATGTCCGGCTTCTCACACAGTCTTGAGGTGGTGAGGAGGACCTGACTGATTTCAGGTCATGCACTGCTCCTATCCTGAGTTCAGCGTGTGCTGGAAGGCAGGACAGCAGCAAAGGGCCATGGTCCGGACGTGGACAAGTCTGGCAAGTGGAGAAGAGGGAAGAGAGGTCCTCAGGTTAGGGGCAGCGCCGGCGAAGGCCTCTGGAGGGGCCAGGGCTTCACGGACCCCAGAGGGAGCACAGGTCTGGGGGCCGGAGGCTTGGTGTGCAGAATTATGGGCCAAGAACAGGGTCTCATCACTGGCAGAGAGAATGTGGGCTGGGCTTTGGGGTTTGGGCTGGACCTTTTTTTTTTTTTTTCAGTTGAAGCAGAATGTACCTGTGAAGGGGTCAGGTACTTTCCCAGACAACCAGTGTCACCTGGTGGCCCTGTACCCCACCGTGAGAGATAATCTGGCAGGCAGGGCACAAGTTTAAGCTCACTCTGGGTAAATTAGCAACCTACTGAGACCCTGGCTCAAAATTTGAAATGGGGAGGAGGGAGGTGGCTCACTGTGAAGCTTCTGGGGTTCAATCCCATTTGTTTGTTTTTATGGGTACTTATTGACTTATTTATTTTAGTGTTTGGGGGTTTTGTTTTGTTTTGTTTGAGAAGGGATCTTGCCACGTAATTGAGGGCAACTTATTATGCAATGCAGGCTGGTCTCAAGCCCACAGTGATCCTCCAACCTCAGCCTACAAACACTGGGATTCCAGGCTGTGCCACCAGCGCCACACCTGGATTAATCCCCAGTTTAAAAAACAGAACGGTGAATCCCTTTCCCGGGGACAAGGGGTTCCACGCTGTACACGGCCCCCTCTTCGTTTGTCTTCTCTGGCTGGTTTAAGTGGTCGTGTGCTCTGGGAAGCTTGCCCACTGCCCTGGGCTTTGTTTGTAAACAGGAATAAGGACATCAACCACTTACAATGATGCGAGGCTTAAACGGGGCTCTCGCCGGACAGTCACAGCGCCTGCGCAGTGCGGGCATTTCCTATCCAGTACTGCGCAGATCTCATCCCAAGTAAAAAGTTCAAACCCCACCCCAAACGGTGGCTAAAGCTTGGTGTGCTGGGATTCTTTTCCTCTGGTTGTCTTTTGGGGACCCTCAGCCCCCAGCAAGCTATGCATCCCCCCTTCCTTCTTCACTTGGCATTGCCGGCGCTCCGGGGACTTCTCCTGGATTCCTGTAAACTTTCTCCAACAGCCGGACCTGGCCGGCGAAAGGTTCAGCAGGCGGCACCGTGCTTTTCGTGCTTTTCGCTAGAGGAGGGCACAAGCCCGAGCCCACTCTTTCCTACCCAAAGCCATTGTGAGGGGCAGGCACCACTGTGCCCCGCACTTCACAGAAGAGGCGCGGGTCCCTCTGGGGAGGACGGGGGGGGGGTGAATCTTTAGAAGTAGCCACACTCTCGCGCCCCGGGGTACCGGCGCCTTGGCTCCTGGTGGGGAGAAAAACGCAAAGCACACAAGACAGGCAAGGAGGGACCCCAAAGAGACGCTGAGGGTCCGCCTGCGGGGAAGGAAAGCGCCGCAGCAGCATCCACCAGGGCCCTGGGGCTGAGGAGGGCAGAGGGGTGGGTAAAAGCAGCAACTGAGGCCGCACACTCGTCCACCCCAGCCTACCGCTCCGCTCCCCCGCGCGCAGAGCCCGGAGCCTGCGGTGCAGCTGTCCGTGGGGCCCCGGGGCCCAGGGCAGGAGTGGCGATCCGGGCCTGCCTGCTTGGCATCTTCCATCCTCCGCGGCTCCGCCTATCGCGGCGCCTCCACCGGCACCCGGAATCCCCGCGTGCTGCGGCCGAGGAAAGCGCAGGACAGGAGCTGGGCGCGCAAGCCCCAGATCTCACCGACCCACAGCGCGGGGCTGGCTAACTCACCGGGGCGGCGCCTGCCCACAGCGCCAACCCCGCATTCCAGGGCAAGGTCCCCTAGGCTGGGCCCAGCGCCTCGCACTCCCGTCTGGCTTTGCTCACCCAGCGGAGGACTCAGCGCACTCAGGTCCGTGGAAGTGGGGAATCCCGCGAACCAGAGGCGTTCGCAGACCCAGATACCGCTGCGTGCTGCCTGCTTAGTTCCGGGACTGAGGTGACTGCCAGGCGACCAAAGCTGCCGGCGAGGCTGAGTGAGGAGCTGGTGGGCTGTGGGCACTGGGAAGAAGACACAGCGCCGCGACTTGGGTCACTCCCGCACTTCTCCAATTTTTGGCGCCTGAGGCTCTTTAGCAGTCTTGTGAAAGCCCCACCCAAGGGTGGCGACTGGTAGCCAGGAGACCTGGCTGACCGTGTGCGTCCTCAAAGTCCCCGCTCGCTCAAAAACCGAGGAGACTGGGCTCCCGCTGGACTTGGCGCGAGTACTGAATAGGACCCCAAGTTCAGGCCCACGCCGGCGGCCTTGCGGGAATCTAGATCCGGGCGGGGAGTACAGGAGCCCGCCCGGCTCCAGCCCCGCGCACCCACAGACGCCCTTCGAGGTCAAGGGCTCGACAAGACCCGAAACCGCCACGCAGCTGTCCTTGCGCGGGATCCCCGGGCAGCGAGCGCGAGCTGGGGCCCCGTGAGCTCCGCGAACAGAACCAGACAGACCCGGCTCCCCGCCCCGCAGACGCCGCCCGCTCGGCCGCCGTGACTGCCCCGGCTCAGGCGGGGGTGCCCCGTACGTGCGTCCGTGTCGTCTAATCCAGCGAGCCGAGGTCACGTGGCGCGCGGCCGAAGCCCCAGCGCTGACCCCGCGGGGAGGAAAGGAGGGAGGCAGGGGCGGGCGCCAGAGCGAGGGGCGGCGCGGCGCGGCGCGGCGGGGCGGAGCGGCGCGGAGGACGGCCCGAGGGCGCGGGGTTCCCTGCGGAGCCGCGCGGGGCCCCAGCGCCCAGACTACGGCCGCGGTGGCCGCCGACCCTCTCGCCGGTGCTCCGACCCTCCCGTGAGTGGCCTGGCCCGGCCCGGCCCGCCGTAGCGCGTTCCCGCCGGCCGCCTCTCCTGGAGCCACGCGTCCCGCGGCGAGGTCCTTCCCCGCGCCCGCCGAGCCCGCTCCGCGGCCCGGAGGGGACGAGGTGAGCTCGGCGTCGCGATCGCTCGGGGCAGCTCCATCCCCGCCGTCCCTTCCCACGGATCCCGGACCGCGCTCCTTCGGGGGCCGCCCAGGCTGCAGCACCTGCCGGGCGCGGACTCGGGTGCCCAGCGGCGGTGACGGCCACGCCTGCCCTCCCTGCCACAGGTTAGCACCGCGCGGGGAAGATGTACCAGAGCCTGGCGCTGGCCCCGGGCCCCGGCCAGGCCGCCTACGCCGACTCCGGCGCCTTCCTGCACGCCCCGGGCGCCGGCTCCGCGATGTTCGTGGCCCCGGCGCGCGTGCCCTCCATGCTGCCCTACCTGCCTGCGTGCGAGCCGGGCCCGCAGCCCCCCGCGCTCGCCGCGCACCCGGGCTGGGCGCCGGCCGCCGCCGCCGCCGACTCCGCGACCTTCGGTTCTGGAAGCCCGCACCCGCCAGCTGCGCAGACACCCGGGGCCACCGCCTTCCCCTTCGCGCACGGCCCTCCCGGACCCGGCGGGCCCGGTGGCGGCAGCAACGCGGGGGCCCGGGACGGCGGCGCCTATCAGGGCGCGCTGCTGACCCGCGAGCAGTTCCCGGGCGCTCTGGGGCGGCCCGTGGGAGCCTCCTACCCCACCACCTACCCGGCCTACGTGAGCGCGGACCTGGCCCCGTCTTGGACCGCAGGCCCCTTCGAGGGCAGCGTCCTGCATGGCCTGCAGGGCCGCCCGGCTGGGCTCACAGGCCGCAGGGCCGCCTTCGGTGAGTCCTGGGGCGGGGGGGGGGGGGGGGGACGGACTCGGGCCGGGGTGCTGGGCCGCTGAAGGTAACCCCGCACCCTGCGAAATGAAATGCGGGATCTTCCGGGCCTGTGCGACCTCCGGACCCCGGAGTGCGGTGTCCCGCTGCCCCTCCACGAGGAACCCCGCGGCCTAAATCTCTCCACCGTAACAGAAAGTGCCTTCCATTCGTGCGAACGCCCGCAGCATTCTGGATTGGCTTAAGCTTTTTTGTGTCTGCTTTTTCTTTCTCTTTTTTGAAAAGTTTTGCGAATGATTTTTATAAAGTTAAAAGTACCGGATTATTTAAGTAAGTCCTCGCATTCACTCGTCTGCTCTAGAACGTTTGCGTTCGAATTTGAGATCCGGTTTCGATCCTCGCGGGAGCCCAACTGCAATGATCGGATTCGGGGCCTACAAAGGGGGAATGTCCCACCCGGGTCCTCAGTACTTAACGGCGAAAGCCCAAGGCCACCCTTCTCTGCTTGAGCTGCAGGGGCCCCCTGGGCCCTCCTTCTGGGGACCTTGGGGATTCGACGCTACTCGGCAGCCGCCTTTTGGCCCTGGCGCAGCGGCGGGGACCCCAGGCCCTGGCGCCCACCCCCGGCGGGTGATGATTGATCCTCGCCCCGCCCCCGCCTGGCGCCCCCGGCTGTCGGAGCATCGCCGGCGCCGAGCCGTCCAGGCCTGGAGGGGACCCGCGAGCCCTCCGCCCCAGGGCGCAGCCCCTGTTCTGCCTGGCAAAGGAGTACGTGGAACAGCGGTTGCCACCACAACAAAACTCACAGGCTGTCAGAGCCCTCCTAAGATTTTTTTTTTTCATTTTAGTGGTTTTGTTTGTTTTTGTTTTTTGGGTTTTTTTTTAAGAGTAGGTCTCACTGTGCATTTCAGGCTGTCCTTGAACTCCCTGTGTAGCCCGGAGCCCAGGCTCCCCTGACTTTGAGGCAGACCTCCTGCCTCAGCCTCCCAGAGTGCGGGAATTACCGGCGTACCCCACCATCCCCAGCCCAGCTCCAACTAAGATTTTGAGATTGGCTCAGCCTCACAACCTACTTTGCAGAGGGTCCGGGAAGAGTTGGCCGTGCCTCCCAGAGATGTAATAGGTTCGCTCACCTCCCACAAGTCAGAAATACAGAGCTGGCAGGCAGCAGACCCTGGTCCAGACAGGGGCCACCCCAGGTGTTCTCCCCAAGGCTTATTTGTTATTCACACTCCTACCTGATAAAAGAGGCTAATGAGTTTTATTATGTGCAAATTAAAAGTAAAAATGAAGTCAGAGAGCGCACAGGTTTGAATAGAGTAAGCTTAAGATACAGCAGTGCTTGGCCCCTGGGGCAGACAGAGGCCTAGCCCGGGCTCAGGAGCTGCCCATCCTGCAGTGTCCGACTTCTTGGAGGAGTTCCCCGGCGAGGGCCGTGAGTGTGTCAACTGCGGTGCCCTGTCCACACCACTCTGGCGCCGCGATGGGACTGGCCACTACCTGTGCAATGCCTGCGGCCTCTATCACAAGATGAATGGTGTCAACCGCCCGCTGGTGCGGCCCCAGAAGCGCCTGGTGAGTGACTGGCCATGGGGACTGCCAGGAGGGTGGCTGGGACGCGGCTCCCTGCACTACATGGCTCAGATGGGGCACTGAGTATGCCACAGAGTGTTCGGGCAGCCAGTCGGCCAGGGTAGCTCTGCTTCCCTCCCCTGGCCTTGCAGGAGCAGGCAGGGGATCAGCAGGGGACTCCTGACAGGGATGCCTGGTGGGCGCCCGCATCCTGCGTTCTACAGGAATTTGTGCTCAGCTACCCACAGACTGCTGGGTCTTCTGGCAGGGCCTGGTTAAGGCAGTCTCTGCCCACGGGCAGGCAAGGGAGTGCCATGGGCCCAGTGGCCCCTAGGAACTCTGCCCTGGAGCCAGCAGCCTGGCCTGCTGCAGAGGCCTTGAGGTGACCTTTTGGAGGATGAGGCTGGAGGGAAAGTTCGGCTGCTGTGTAGGTGCTTTGTGGGGACAATGAGGACCTCAGTGAGGGCTTGTTGGATCTGTCACCCCCCGGAGAACATTTTCTAGGCATACTTCCTGGACCCCAGACAACTGGGCCTGACTTTTTTGGTCTCATTAAGCAAAATTGTTTGATTCTTCCTAATCTGTGTCAGAAGTGGTCATCTCTGGTGTTGACAGGAGTGTGAAGCAGTTTTGTTCTGACCCCGGCAAGGACAGACCTCTAAGTTTAAGTTCACGAACGAGGGACAGGTGTTGGCGTTGTGTGCAGGTTGGCTATGTTGATGAAGCTTTGCGTCTAGCTAGCAGGGTGTTCCCGCGGCACCCAGTCACAGGTGACAGTGTGAGCTCTGGGCAGTGCCAGCTGCCCGGCTGGGAGCAGTCATGTCCCTGGGAGGGAGGGAGTCCCATGAAGCAGGAGCTCCTGCCCCGGCCTCTGGAGCCTACACCAATGCTTGGCCATGGCTCTGCAGGGTGCTCGGCTCCGTGGGCCCCCTCTGCCTGTGCTGGGGCAGCCCTGCCAGCTCCAGCAGGCAGAGAATCCGGAGCCGCGGGCTGAGCACTGGGACACAGTAGCTCATTTGCCTTTACAGCGGCTCAGGCTGACACAGGGCTCCAGAGGTTGGGCAGCTTTACCAGGGCACACAGCTGCAAGCAGCTGGGACTGGATTGCCCCAGCCAGCCCAGGACGGGACCTCAGCCGTGGGCCACAGCATGGCATAGACAGTCCCCTTCGCTGTGAGCCTTGGCCTTCTGACCCGAGAAAGGGGAGGTGAATTTGGAATTGTCCTGTGCCCCATCATACAGATTTAGCTGTCTAGCTTAATCTGAGGCAGAGAGCTGGGAGAGGCCTTGGCTGGCTCTGGGGACAGTCAGGCCAGTTTCCTCATCCAGGAGACATGGGTAATCGCTGTCGGGCTGTCTCTTGGGAGAGCGACTCTGCATCCCTGCTGTTGTTCCCAAGGCCACAGGCCCTGGAGGGTGGGAATGGTGTGGTCACGCCTATGTCCAGGCTCATCCAGACCTGATCACGAAACAGCCGGGAGGTGTTGACCACATCAGACCCGCTACTGCATCTCCCCAGGCCCTGGGGGTCTCCCCTGACCTGCTCCAGGGTTCTTACCTCTTGACTCAGGGCCTGACCACTTGCCCACTGGCTGGTCCTGGCAGAGCCAGGTGGGGTGTTAGGCCCCGAAACTCAGAGAGCCCTGAGGCTAGAGCTGGGCCCAGGTGAGTCCCGGCCTTGGGGGCTGGGCTGGTCACCCCCACAGACGTACTCTGCAGCTCCCCACTGCACCCCATGGGTGCAGCCAGAACTGATGCCCAGGCGGGGCTCCCTAGTGAAACTTCAGGTCAGCGGTTTGGAAGTGTCGCCAAGAATACAGGCAAATGACAAGAAAAGCAGCCATGGCACTGCTGTCCACAGGACGCTGAGCTTTCTGCCCCTGAGCACTCCTTTGTGCCTATCCGCTGGACACCAGGCCACTGTCGGGGTGGGAGCAGTGGCCTCAGCACCCTTGTGCCACGCGCCCATGTCTCTCCCGCCAACTGAGGTCACATTTCGGACCCCACAGGCTGGGACTCTACACGTTGGTGCCCATGCTGAGCCCAGCGCCTGGTGGCTGAGGTCAGAGCAGGCAGGCCACTGCTCATGATGGCCCCGGGAGTGGTCAGCGGCCCTGGGCTATGAGAAAGCCTGACCCTGGACGGGCCTGCGCCTCTGATACTCATAACCCTACATGACTCTGGTCTTGGAGTGGGTTTGCCCTTTCGTGGAGGAACACACTGTGTCTGCTCCGAAGGGGGCTTCTTTGCCATGGAAGCATTTGGGGCTCCAGCCTGCCTCAAGGTGCTGATGCCAGCTGTGCCCCGCCCCATCTTGGGTAGGCAGGGCCTCACCTACATTGACTTATTTGGAAGCGCAGATGCAGAGCCTGGAGAATGCAGCAGGCTCTGAAGATTAACTTCGGAAAATGAGAGGCAGCCAGCAGAGGCCTGGCCATTGGGCAGCCAAAAGTGGCCAGGCCTGGGTCTGGTAGCAACAGGGACCCTGCCTGGTACATGGGCAGGGAGGCACCGGAGGGAGGTGGCTGTGGCCACCGCAGCCTCCCGAACCTCTAGGCCCTCTACTGGTTGAGCCTCGGCTCCCTCTAGGCAGAGGCAATCTCTGAGGCTACGTGAGGTCAGTGAGGAAGCACTGGGAACCTTGTGGGACCTGCTGCCCATCTGCCCATTTCTGTAATTTCATAGAAGTAAAATGCAGGACTCCCAAACATATCTGCTGTGGCTTCCAGACAGTTCTCCGGCACTGCCAGGATCCGGGTGGCAGGCGGGTGGGTGTGTTTCCTGTGTCGGTGCTGAGCGGGGTCACTGCTGCAGAGCCTGAGGGGGCTGCTGGTTTGGGGGAGGGCCTCACCCAGCTCCCTCACCTGCAGGGATGGCAGGGGTGGGGAGGTTGTGGTCCAGTCGGGCTGGGGCAGCGAGTGAAATACAGGGCAGCCAGAGAAATGTGACTTGCGGGTGCACCGACGTTTGAGTCCTTATGTGCCAAGAACGCCAGGGAAAGCACAGCAGATACTGTTTGTCTCTGTTTAGCGAGGCTTCCTGGGATTTGAGCCATACCAGCGGCCCTGTGGGAGGTGCCAAGGCCAAGGAGCAAAGGGGCTGGGCCGACAAACCCCAGCCAGCTCTCCAGGGAGACCTGGTTGGCTCAAAGGCTGATGCGCCTTCTGGGAGGGTGTCCACCTTCTGCCCCAGGAGCACAGGCAGCCCCTTCCTGCACCCCAGCTCATTCCCCAGCATCCTTAAGAGTAGGCCCGTGCCCTTGACCGTAGCCTGGTGGGGGGAGTGGGCAGCAGATGGTCAGCGAGGTTCACACACTCAGCCAATGCCCAGGAAACATTCTTAGATGCTGGCAGATTCACGCACCCTGATGCCACGGGGCAAGTCTGGTTGTCTTTATTATTTTCTGGTGCTGTCTAGGCTGGAGAACACAGGGAGGACATAGCCCGGAGTGTGAAACCTGGGTCTTACAGGCTGTGTCCCTGTGTCCCTGTGCCCCAAGGTGCTGCTGATTGGTCTGGACACGGGCCACTGCAGGAAGATAGTAGGAGCCCTGCAGACACCCAGGGGCTGTTCAGATGGAGTAAAGGGGGTAGTTGGGTCAGGAGCCTTATCCAAGGGTAGCCCAGGCCCAGCTTGGGGGCAGAGCTGCACCCTCCAGGGACAAGGCCTGGGGAAGGTGGCTGGGAGGGTCGGTGCCACCGCAAGGCTGTGCTGTGAGGAAGGGACAGCTGAGGTGCCCAGGGGCCCCTGGCCAGTGTTGCTAGGCTTTGGGTAACATCTGGACACTGAGGGTAAGGTAGGCAGGAGAGGCAGCTGGGGACCCAGAGCTGAGAGCCTGTGGACGCTGCCAGGGTAACCTGAGCAACCAGCATCTCAGAGCCTGTCAGGTTCTGAGTCCCGAGCCCTGATGGACCCGACTCAGGGCCCCAGCTGCAGGAGACCTGGGACCTCTGGGAGCCAGGCAGGAGAGAGACACGTCAGGGCCTGCAGGAGTTTTCAGAGCCCAGTCATGCTGACTCCAGGCCTAGGGCACAGTGGCAGAAGGTGTGGTGTCCTGGACCCTCGGCCCAGTGTCCAGGGCCTGGGGAGCCATCATGAGCCAAGTGTGTGCACGGGCCCAGCTCTGCAGAGAGCTGTGCAAAGGGGCTCACCCTCAGGCTCAGAAACTAGCTGAGCACAGCGTGGATGACTAGGAGCTCACAACAACATGACAGTGATATTTCCATGACTGGCTTTCAAAGGCTTTAACTCCACAACCAGTCCATGGCAGGTTTACTGGTGCCATCTTACAAGTGGGGAAACTGAGGCCCAGGAGCTGAAGTGAACTGTCCCAGAGCTCGAGGGCTGGTGAGGTGACACTCTGAGGGACCAAGGACACCATGTCCTTCCAGGCCAGACCTGGGGGCAGACCTCACAACCTTCGCCCCAAGCAATCCCGCCCTGGCTGCCCATTAGTCATGAGCCCAGCTTCCATCCCTGCTGCTCTCAGCAGCTGCCCACGACCCCAGGGCCTGAGCCCTGCTGCCCACACACTCAGGCCTCACCCCAGCTTGCTGTCCCCACAGTCCTCGTCCCGCCGTGCCGGGCTCTGCTGCACCAACTGCCACACCACCCACACCACGCTGTGGCGGCGGAACACGGACGGCGAGCCCGTGTGCAACGCCTGCGGCCTCTACATGAAGCTACATGGGGTGAGTGCGGCCCCTGCCTCGCCCCCCATGCCCTTCCTCCCAGGATGGACCTGGCACCCCAGTCATTCCAACCCCAACGGCACTGGGAGGTTGGGATGGGCACCCGCCACCACCACCCCGGGGTAGAGCTGCCCATTCAGACCGCACCTGGGACCCGGGCGTCCAGGAGGGACCAGCTCCATGGGCTCCGAGGCTGGGCAGGAGACCCTGGAGGCGAGCAGGGGTGGGGGCCAGCCACTCACCGCCCTGTCCCTGCCAGGTGCCCAGACCCCTGGCGATGAAGAAGGAAAGCATCCAGACAAGGAAACGGAAGCCGAAGACCAGCGCCAAGACCAAGGGCTCCTCAGGTTGGCGGGAGCTGGGAGGGTGCCCTGCCCCTGCCTGACCCAGCCGGCCTCAGTCACTGCTGGAGATGCCCCTGTGGCCTGCGGCCACCCTCTGTGCTCTGAACTCCGCCCTGGGCAGTCTGGCTGGGGGAGGGCAGGCTGTGTGAGCTGGCCTTCTGGGGGCAGAGGGTGGGGCAAGGGCCTGGGGCCCAGGGTAGGAAGGGGAGGCATGGCAGGCTCCACACCTTCTGCAGGTGCCCTCCTCCCTCCCGGGTCCATGGCACAGGCAACAGCGTCTCCACCTGCCGTCCCCAGCATCGAGAGCTCGGCGGCCTCCCTGAAACCAGAGCCCAGCCTGGCCTCCCCAGCGTGTGCTGGGCCCAGTGTCATCTCTCAGGTGAGGAAGGCAGCTGGGGTGGGGGCCAGGATGGGTCTGTCCCTGCCCAGGGACCCACCCTTCTCCTCTGAGGACTGCAGAGTCCTGTCCTGTGAGCTGCCCCCAAGGCTCCATCACCAGCTCTGCTGGCACATGGCCGCCCCTGCCCCATTCCTGGGTTGGGACCTTGAGACAGATCGCTCCATCAGGAGGGCTCCCAACCCCAGCGAGGTCGCTGCTGCTCCTGCATCTTCACCCACCTTCCCTGCAGGTGTCCGAGCCGGTGGATGACCCCCTGGCCCCCAGCCACTTGGAGTTCAAGTTCGAGCCTGAGGACTTTGCCTTCCCGTCCACCGCCCTGGGCCCCCAAGCTGGCCTCAGTGGGACCCTGCGCCAGGAGACCTGGTGTGCACTGGCCTTGGCCTAGGTCTCCAGGCAGTCCTGCACTGGGGGAGCCACCCGGGATGGCACCCACAAATCCATGCCATGCCTGGAGACCATGGGCCCCACCTGCCGGCAGAGACTGGTGCCCCAGAGTAAGTCGGTCCATCACGAGAGTCATCAGCAACCGCGTGGACCCTTCTGGGCCCAGCCCAGAGGGAGAGAGGAGCCAAAAAGCTGGGGAGTCCCGCGCCTGCAGCCAAGGTCCACTTGAATTCCCTCACCAGCACTGGCTGCTGCCGCCGTTTTCAGGGTATAGCAGCTGGGGAAGGCTCGAGCCTGCTTCTGCAAGCTGGCGTGGTGGCCACACCTGTCACCCCAGCACTCGAGAGGCTGAGACAGGAGAATCGCCGTGAGTTTGAGGCCAGCCTCAGCTATGTAACAAGTTTAAGGCCAGACTGGACGACGTAGACCCTGTCTCAGAAAAACAAAAGACGGGAAAAAAAAAGAAACCTGGATTCCAACCAACAGACCTGAGGCCATACCAGTAGTAGTGGGGGACCCTGGGCATGGGGTCTGCTGGGGCCTCAAGGTCTTCCCTCCCTCATTTGAGGGAAGGCACCCTGGTGCACAGTCTTTCCCTGCTCAAGGACACAGGACTGCTGGGGACAGATATGTAAGTTGTGCACTGTACCAGGACACCATCCTGAGAGGGAGCGGGCCACACTGCCATCACCACCACCTGTGTATTTATTTGGATGGGTTTTGAGGTGGGTTCGTGAACAACAATACAGGAATCCAAGCAGCCAAGTTGGTAAATTTGGAATTTAATTAACTGCGCTCAGGACCACTTGTATGCAGAATGCCCCCTCCCACCTTCAGGGTCCAAACAAGCAGCCCCAAACTGGAAAGTTACAGAGTTTTTAAAAGAGAGAATCACAAAAGACACCCTGTTGGAAACAATGTAGCTCGAATCTTTCATTAATTTTTGGTTGACACCTGTATCCTGCTGCTTTTGTTGAGCAGGTTAATTTTTCTCCCGTGGATACAGCTCATTCTGCTTTTCTCCTGGGAGTTGTACCCTGAGTAATTTTCCCATTTTCCTGAATGCAGGGCACTAGCGAAATGCAGGGCTCAAGATGGCATCAGTTATGCCAAGCTACAACAGTTTTGCAGGGTGGGCAGTAAAGGGCCTTGTTCTGACCAGATCTGTGTACCGTGGCCACTTCTACGTTGTGATGGGGGAAGGGCTGCCTCTCTGCAGCCCAGACTGGCTGTCTACGCCCAGTGATCCTCCTGCCTCAGGCCCCAGAATGCTGGGATGACACCACACCCAGCTCATGGCTACTTCTTACTGGCAGCGTAAAATATCGGGGGGGGGGGGGGTTGTTTGGACAGAGGTGTTGTCGGGGTTGGGGATGTGGCCCCTCCTCCGGGCTCAGCTGGGACCTTCCCCACACAGTTGGTATCGCTGCTCACACTACCCCTCAGTGCCAAGAAACTGATGTTGGGGGCAGCGGGGAGCAGGGTCCTGCAGAGGTCACCTCCTTGCTTCACCCAGGTGCTGCTTTTCTCCAGGAAGACCTGGTTTTGCCGGGAAGCCAGGAACCTGGATGGTTTAAATGTGAACTCTTCTAATTCAAAGCTTGGTTTAAACTCTGTCTGCATTTCACAGTCTTTGAAATATAGGCGTCAACTGTAACCCGGTGGGCCACAGGCCAGCCTGCAGTGGCCACTCCGAGTTTAAAACTTTACACCTAACCCCAGAGTTGTTCAGAAGCCCAGTCCCGAGTCTCCAGCCCAGTTCCACGTGAGCACCCTGGGCTTCTAAAATAAGTGAAGCCCCGACCACAGCTCAGAAACACCCCCTGGGGACCTAACCTGCGGGCCTTGGGGCTCACAGACAGCAGCTTTAGGGTCCTCGGTGGGGCGCGGATGCTGGGCAGAGAAAGGTGATGGGCCCTGGTGCCCCGTGTGGCCTGGGATGGGCCCTAGAGGCACAGGCAGAGGCAAGGTGGCCACATCTTTGCCCCTGAGTGGGGACCTGCTTGGAGCCTCCTGCCATGCCCCCTCCTGGAAAGTAACTCCAGCTGACCCCGCTACCTCCGTCCCACCGGAGCTGCGCCTGGGACTGCGGCGCCCACATCCGCCAGACCTGGCTCCAGTGAGGACCTGGGCACAGGCCTTGTGCTGGTCCTTGCCAGAGCTGTTTTCAGCCTCAAGGGAGGAGGGCACATCAGCCTCACCTTGAGCCCCAGTGCTGACCAAGCAGACGCCTGCATCCGGAAGGTCCCACGTGTGAGCACCGAGGTGTGGACCCCTGGACCTGCTGGGGCCTGGCAGGCACCACAGGCACTGGGCCCTCTCCACTGGGGGTGCTACCACCTGTCCTGGTCCAGAGGCTGTGGACTTGCCCAAGGGCCCATTCCCAAGTAAGGAGACTGAGGCATGGAGGTAAGTGGTCTCCTGGCCAGGGAGGGCTTGGTGCCCAGCCAAGCTCAGCCAGGGACAGTGACCCCCGAGCAGCCCCCTGGGCCACAGAGCCAGGACCTCGCCCTGCTGGGTCTCTGCACCCAGGCCTGGTGAGCAGCCAGCCAGGTGGAGGAGACTCCACTCGCCTGACCAGAAGAGCACCAGGGCCACGAGGCTGGGTGAGGGCCACGCGCTGCCACATCCTACACCTCGCTGCAGGCTGACGCTGGCAGCCCCATGGCTCCAGCCAATCCTCTCCATCTAAGCCCGGTTTCCTGGTCTGTGTGTGAGTGTGTAACACACCCATGTAGTGTCCCTGGGAGGCCCAGATGCACCGCCAGTGCTTCCTGGCCCCGCTACGGCAACCTGTACAGGGTGGGTGAGGTCCCTGTGGACAGGAGGAGCTGGGCTGATGGGGACCCAGCACTGTCCCAAGTCCCCGTCCATGAAGAGGGGTCACCACGGTGAGGAGGCTTAGCCACTGACACCAGGGAAGCAGCCCCTTCCTTTCCATCTCAGTGCTCAGGACTTGCCCAGGATGAGGCAAGGGCCTCCCCTGGCATGGTCATTGCTGCTTTCCCCGCTCAAGGTGGAAGCTGGCCAGACCAAGGCCCTGAGACAGCTGCCGCACCCCTCCCGGCCACTTCCTGCTGCCCTCCTGCCGCAAGGCATAAGTCACCAGATGAGGCAGGAGGCCCGCAGGTGAGGGCAGCCCGGGGCCCCTTGTCAGAAGGGGGGACAAAGGAAAGGTCACCTTACTGGCTGATAGGCAGCCGAGATCCCACCGCCTTGGAGCTAAGGCTGATGTACCTGGACATCTGTCCCCTTGTCTGTGGAGCACATCCCTGGTCCCCCACCCGATGCTCAGACCTAGGCATCCTGGGGAAGGGAGAAGCCCGTAGTGAAACCCAAAACTCAAAGGCATAGAGTGTAGGAAAGGGGGCCCAGGGTTCATCTGAACCATTGACGGAGTGGCTCTGCTCCCTGCTCCCATGTGTGCTCAGCTGCCCATCCTGTTCCCAGGCCCAGCTGCAGTGGTCACCGTGGGTCCAGAGTGCTCACTGCACCCGGACCCCTTGGGGTTCTGAGTGTGCTGAGGATGGAACTAGGCCCTGCCTGCCCTAGACTGGCCCCGCCCCCAGCCCCCTTACTTGGATTCCAAGGCTGCTCTTCAAGGGGCAGCTGAATATTGGGGACATCACTGTGTCACCCTGTGGGTGACACGCACATGCAAAGTGTGGCGTGTGTCTGCATAGGGAAAATCACTATCTGGGGAAGTGATAAAAGGTACCAGCATCTTATTTGACCAAGTAAGGACATTTCTTAGTAAAGCTCACTCACTGTCACTACCTTCAGATCGGTCACCAACATCAGTGCTGTCACCAAAAACACCGAAACTGCCCAAGACAGGAGATCTTAGCAGGGGCACTGACGCCCACAGGCCCTCGCTGCTGGCCTTTGCTGCAAGCACAGACAGCTCTCAGAGACCGGGGCCACGCTCCAGAGTGTGTGGATGGTGGTGCCAGACAGGAGCAGCTGAGGGGCACAGGGCAGCCGGGACTCCACAGGAAGGCAAGTGGAGCCCACTGGCCAGGTGGCCCAGACCCACGCCGTCCTTGAGAGAGACGCCGGTTCCCCGGCCCCTGCGGCTGGGTGTATGTCGGATCCTCAGAGCCTCTAGTCCCACCGGTGGGCAGCAGCTGGCATCTCGGCTCAGTGGAGGCCTGGGCTCAGTCTCCCGCTCTGAGGCTCAGCTGGGCAGCCAGCCAGAGGTTCCTCAGCTTCCTGTTCCCCCGTCCTGCAGCTCACGGCTTGTTATCCCACGTCACCCTCTCCCAGCCAGCCAGCCCCACCTCATCCCCACCTGGCCCTAGACCGGTCCTGGAGCAAGTCCCCCGGGCTCATCCCTGGAGGGGACAGTGGGTCTAGGAAACCAAGCCCCCTGGGGGTGATGCCCTCCACATCTTGCTCTGGGCTAGATGTGGGGGGCTCTGCACATGGATTCCCTTCTGCGGATCAGAAAATGAGGCCAGAGAGAGGCAGCCCCAGCGGCTGCCAGGCTGCAGGCAGGCAGACCCTGGGGTACCTGAGGCCCCCGACACACATACACATTAGTGGGGGCTGAACCAGGTCCAAAGCAGAGGGGCTGCCTACGCCCCACAGGAGACTGGCCCCTGGGGGCCACTCCGGGCAGGGTGGGCAGCGGACAGCCCCTCCTCGCAGTACCCTGTGCAGCCGCCAAGACGTTGACACAGACGGCTCCAGCTGCCTTATTTATGACCTGATAACGTGCCCTTGCCCCCGAGGGACGGCGTCTGGCTGCGCTGGGGCCAGGAGGCCTGGGGGAGGAGGAAGGCGGTGGGGACCGCGCCAGTCCAGCCGCACCTAGGCCAGGCTCCCACCCCAGACTCTGGGCCAAAACACGAGACAGCTTCGTCCTCAGCCTGTCTTTGCTTCTGTCCTCTGAACAGCAAGCCGGGGGGAGTCGCCTTGGGGCCACATTTGCCCCCAGAGACCTGTGCCCCTGCTGCCACCCCTGCTCTCCCAGTTGGGCCTCTCCTCACCACGCACCCCTCACCGTGTTTCTGCTGCGCCCCCCCCCCCCCCCGCATTCTCCCCTTGCCATCTTGCTCAGACTTTCCATGATGTGGATCTGGGCCCGTGCTGCCTCACAGACCAGCTCGTCACAGCTGGGCCAGCCTTCGCACCCTGTGCCTCGGGGCGCCCTTTTCCTGGAATCAGAACCACTCTCCGGTGCAGAGATCTGGTCACTGCAGAGCTCTGGCCCTTTGCACATGCCATTCCCTCGGCCCACTTCATTTCATGGGTCTCCCTGGTGACTCAGGATTCAAGACCTTCTGATGCCCTCCCTTCTCCTCCATAAAGTCTTTGTAGGAGCACTCGGAGGTCACAGCCCACCAACTCCTGCTGCCCTACCTGGAGGTTAAGAGAGCCGGCCCCGAAGGCCTCTTGTGGACAAACCAGCATGATTACACAGCTGTGTACACCTGTGAACCTGGGCGTGTGTGTTCACCAGCCTGTGGAGGCCTTGTGATGGGAGGCGATGAGCTCTGCCTTTGAGGTGGGCAGGACCCCACTCTGCCACCCCAACACGGCTCGGGGGTGCCACAGGCTGAGCCATCACCTGCCACACCCAGGGCACGCTGGGCAGTGGAAAGAAGGGAGATGCCCAGCGAGAGGGAGGAGTTAAATTCTCAGGAAACGTGTGTAGCTGAGACCTCAAGGGAAGACACAGGTTTGGGGTTCTGTTTGTTGCATTTTGCTTTTTGGTGTTTTGTTTTGTGGTACTGGGAATTCAACCTCCGCTGCCTTTCTTC